CCCCCCCGCCTTTCAGACCCTGCCAGGAGGGGCCCCAACGGGGACTATCAAAGAGATACATCTCTCAGAAGACCACGTGTCAAAAGTATTGGGAAACACACACACACACCCCGCTGCAAAGTGACCTTCTGCCTTCCCAGACTGCGCCGGTGACTTACTCGAGAGGAGACCTTCCCAGGGTCCGGCTGCCGGGCTCTTCCTCTGCCGCGGTCCGTCCGAAGCCCTCCCGGTCCTCTCTCCCCGCTCAGAAGTCAACATTTCCGGTCCCCCCCCCCCGGAAAAAGACCCTCCTTCCCTCGATGGGCCCCTCTAGCCAACCGCTCTCGGCTCCTTTAACCCTTTCAGAGCTGCAGAGCCAGGCAAGAGTCTCCTGGGAGCTGCTTTCCCGGGGAGTCCCAGGCCGTTCAGCCCTCTCCGGAAACGTCGGGGTGGGGTTGATCGGGTGCGAGGGGGGGAGGCCACCCGAAGGGAGCCCAGGCCCAGCAATCCGAAGCCCTTGTGGGGGGACGGGCGGCTCTTGAGTGGGTCTGGCTGCCCTCCGGGAACGCGGCTTTCGGGGATCGCCTTGGAAATCCGCGTTTTGGCAACATCTTCCCTGAGTGTCTCAGAACGGGACTCCGATCGAGTCTCAGGAAAGCCCCTCCCCCCTTGCAGGCAGTTCTCGGCAGGGCTCCTTCTTCTTTGGTGGGGCGGGGCTCATGCGTGGTACCAGCACCTTTTCGGGGGGGGGGGGGGTTCTGCCAAGTCCTGCGGGGGGAATTGGGTATGACTCCTGCCCCCTCCCCTTTCTAACGGAGGGGAAAGATCTGGCTTTTTTTTGGGGGGGGTTCCCATTTTGCCTGGGGCGCAGTTTCCCTCCGAGGGGACCCCGCCTGCTGCAGAGGGGCAGGATCCGATGGAGCCCTCTTTTTGAGGGCAGGGGGGGGGGGGTCGGGCTCCCTCGGCCTGCAATCCGGCCAGGGCCGCGTCCCTTTCCCTGGGCGAGACTTCCAGCGGCCCGTTCGGATGAGGAAACTCTGCTTCTCTGTCGCTCCGATTCAATGCCACACTTCTCAGAGCGC